GCCCGATGCGGGACTCGATCCAGGGACTCCAGGATCATGACCTGAGCCGAAGGCAGTCGCTTAACCAACTGAGCCACCCAGGCGCCCCTCTTATTTATACTTCTATCTCTTATGAATTTGGTCAATATGTTTCAGTCTGGAGTTCTATCACTTCTGAGTGTACAAAGAATAACATTTCTGAGCGTATAAAGACCATGGAATATGGTAACAAAGCCAAAATGATGCCACCCTGTGGGCCTTGCCACAAACTTGAAGGTCATTCACCATGGCATTGGTATGCTCAACAAATATTTCAATGAATAAGCAGACTAGTTAGGATACAATATAGGGGAGAGCTCTACACAAAGGTCATGTTCTCCAAGCCACTTAAAATCTTCACCCAGCTCAAACTCTTTGTGAGCCCACCAAACGGAACATTCAGAAATCCTGCCCACTCCCACAACACCCAAATCCCTCCCAGAAAACTTCAGGGAAGTTTTGTCCAACAGACATCCCAAAGGAATGGTCCAGGAGTATCTGATCACCTGGGGCTTTCTCCTCAATAAGGCGTCCCCTAACGGGGAGACCATCCTCACTCTCTCCTTCTATAATGGCTCCTCCTCAGCCCATTTTGTGAATTTTCTATCCTATTTCTGTTTGCAGGGCCCCTTTCTTGGCCCGCTCCTCTTTCCAACTCACAGCTTCTATGGGAACCTCATCCCTCTGACAGTTTTAAGGATTACCTTTCTGCAGACAGATGTCAAATATCTGTTTCCAGGCTAGAACTGTCCTCTGGGCTCCAAAGTCACATATTCAACCACTTCCTAGACATCTTCATAGGGCTGTCTCATAGACACCTCCAACTCTACAGGTTCAGAACAAAAATTTCTTGGGGCGCCTGGGTGGCTCAGTCGTTAAGCATCTGCCTTCGGCTCAGGTCATGATCCCAGGGTCCCGGTATCGAGCCCCGCGTCGGGATCCCTGCTCTGCGGGAGGCCTGCTTCTCCCTCTCTCTCCCCCTGCTTCTGTTCCCTCTCTCACTGTGTCTCTCCCTGTCAAATAAATGAATAAAATTAAAAAAAAAAAAACCAAAATTTCTATTCTCCCTCCCCATCCTTCTCCTCCTCTTACTTCCTCATCTCCATCAATGTCACCACCAGTTAACTCAACTCAAGTCCAACGCCAGCCAGTCACCATAGTGGCCACCCCCACGTGGTCAGTCAGAAAGACCTCTAGAGTCCTCCTTCAGCACATTGCACATCTCTTCCCCCTCGTTGCTCCTGTCCCCCCTGGCCTTGTCATCTCACACCTGCTTTTCCCTGCTCTCCTAGCCTCCATCCCCACCTTGCTCAGTCTGGGCAACCCTCACACTGCAATCCGTTCTCCCCAGTGCTACCAGGGTGATCCATTCACCAGACCCATCAGCTGTCCCAAGACCAACAGCATAGTCTTGAGAGACTCTGAGAAGCTAAATTTTGATATGAAAGGAGACAGGTCAAGAAAGGTCCAGGCATGAGGCACTGCTCAGAGTCCAAGGCCAGGGAACCCTGAGCATCCAGGAGGCACAGTATATCCAGGAGGTGAGAAGTGGGGGTCATGAGAGAAGGGGGTACAAGGTGGATGTTTAGTTTTGCAGGGATCAGCCAAGTACAGTGCAGGTTTCCTTGCTCATGGGGGCCCCTGGAAAGACACATGTCCCGTTTGGGATAAAACCAGCATCCAGTCCTATACCAGTACAAGGGTGGGGAGCCTGTGAAGACCTACAGGGTGAGATCTGAAAGTCAAGCCAGAGCAGAGGAAAGAGGTGGGCTTACCGGGAACAGCATGGCTCTGAGCTCTAGGTAGAGCACATTGTCCTGGTAGAACTCCTCCAGGGCCTGGAAGACATAGTCTCTGAACACTGGTGCATAGTGGACAAGGCCAGAGATTGTGAAGAAGATCGTTTGAAACTTGGACCAGACAATATTTTGGTTTGCATAATCCACATCGGGGTTCTCAGTCATCAAAGTGAAATTCTTTAGCAGTCTGTTCAGGACACAAAGGGGGTAAATTGAGGAGGTGTGTTTCAAGCCATCACCTTCAGGTGCCTGCAGGATTCCTGCCCACCTTGCTTCTCCCGCCAGAAGCAAACCCAGATGCATCATAGTGAACAATGATGAGAAGCCAGGAGAAGCACACTGGGTTCTCTGGTGGAGGCCCCTCCATGAGACCCACTTTGTGCTCCTCAGGACCCAGCTCAGGCGGGATGTTCCCACCAACCAGGCTCTCCTACCCCCTCCATATGCTTAGCCAGTCTGACCCCATTGTACTTACATCCTAGATCAAGCTCTCTTCGAGGGGCGTTATGCACCAAACTGTATCCCTCTAAAATCCATATGTTGAAGTCCTCACCCTCAATATGACTATATTTGGAGATAGGGCCTTTCTGGTGGTAATTAAGGTTAAATGAGGTCATAAGGGTGGGGCCGACATAGAATAGGACTGGTGTCAGGGACACCAGGAGTGCACACACACACAGAGGAAAGGCCATGTGAGGACACACTGTCTGTAAGCCAAGGACAGAGGCCTCAGGAGAGACCAAACTTGCCAGGATCTTGATCTTGAACGTCTAGCTTCCAAACCAGTGAGAAAATAAATTTCTATTGTTTAAGCCACCTGGTCTGTAGTATTCTGTTATGGCAGCCCCAGCAAGCTAATACAGGAGGTATGATGGAAATACGGGGACTACATGACCCAGGCTTCGCCCCTGAGTAGCCACATACTAGCTGTGTGGCCTTGGGCAGCTTCCTTAACTGTGCTGAGCTTCACGTTTCTTATTCGTAAAGGGAAGTAAGCTCACAAAAGCACTCTATAGATGGTTCTATGATGAAAAGAGTTATTACTTATAATATCACTTTACAAGTGTGTTAGGAAGTTGCTTCATCATGTTTTCAAGGTGTTTCACCCACAAATGCACTGTCATTATTCCAGGAGCTGGGAGCTTTTCATCTTTCTGATATCAAGCATTTAGACAAATTTCATCTGATGCAACAACAGTGTTACTGTTAATACCTCTTACAGATCAAATTGGATTTTAACTGAACCAGGAACTGCTATTTGAATGCTTTTGTGAAGCAAAGTATCTTGTAAAGTTAAAAGAAAAAGCCTCCTGAGTTTTTTTTTTTTTCTGGTTTTTTTTTTTTCCTGAGTTTTTTTAAGGCCAGATTTGCATATATGGGTTTGTACCAAGGAAGACACACCTGCACACCACCCACTACTTATAATGGACGAGACACATCCCTTCCCAGCCACACTCACCCGTTGTCAAACTCAGTGACGTTCTGCATCTCCTTTCGATATTTCTCCAGCAAAACCCACTCTGAACACTCTGCTGGCATTGGGGTGGGGGGTGTTGGATAAGCAAATTTGAACTTCAGGGCCCCCTTCGGGGTGATACAGAAGTGGCAGTGGGGCCTATAGGTGACATTTTTCACCAGCCAGTTCATGCTCAGGATGCCGAAGTCATGGACATGTAAGGCAGCCCCTGGAAAGGGAAGAAGGATGGGGTGAGAGTGAAGCAAAAGAGGTGAAGTCCACATTCCAGGGCACAGGGACCGTGAGGACAGTGTAGCTGGACAAGAAGTGAGAAGCACAAGGATGTCTATCTGGCAGAGTTCCTTGGAAATGCCCACGATGCACCATCCCCACTCTGGCGCAAAGACCTTCTAGGCCTCTGTGTGCCTTTGTCTTCCTGGGCTGGCCACAGCCTTCCCTGCTCTGGTGTAGGAAGGGAGCTTCCCTCGCTAGTAAGAAGCATGGTGACCTCATTCAAGAGAGGCACCCCGATGGGGCAGGGGAGCATCAGGCTTGGATTCAGAAGACTGGGGTTCAAGTTGGACTCCATCTCACCACCCAACACTGCGTGAAAGGTTGTAATAGGAAGGAGCCTCAGCCCCTGCCCCCACCTGGTCCTGATCCTCTCAGCCTGCTCCCCGACGCCCGACACACCGCCTTTGCATTCCCTGCTTCCAGCCAGCATCTAGGCAGCTCCTGGCCCACAGGTTTGCCTTCAATGCCCCATGCTTCTTTCAGAGCTGACACCAATTTCAACTACCGAGCTCCTCAAGGCACAGTATACACTGTCCCTCTGCTCTTCTTGCTCCATCTTAGCACCTGGCCTTGACACTGGCCGCTTAGGGGTCCCAGCTGTGTGAGCTTTGGCAGGTCACCCTGTCTAAACCTTATGTTCTCCATCAAGTGGAGAGGTTACTTTACCAACTTGACAGTTTTTTTGTTTAGTCTCTTTATTTATAACATTAAAATAAAAGAGGTACAGAAAAGCCCTTGGGGTGCCTAGATAGCTCAGCTGGTTAAGCGTCCAACTCTTGGTTTCAGCTCAGGTCATGATCTCATGGGGCGGTGAGATGGAACCCCACATTGGGCTCTGTGCTCAGCAGGGAGTCTGCTTGCAATTCTCTCCCTCTGCCCCTCCCCACACTCCTACACATGCGTGCATGCTTTCTCTCTCAAACAAAGATTCATTTATTTATTTGAGGCAGAGAGAGAGAGCATGCGCACAAGTGAGCACGGGGGAGGGAGAGGGGCAGAGGGAGAGGGACAGGCAGACTCCCTGCTGAGCAGGGAGCCCAATGAGGCGATCAATCCCAGGACCCTGGGATCATGAACTGAGCTGAAGGCAGATGCTTAACAGACTGAGCCACCCAGGCACACCTAAACAAATCTTTAAAAAAAGAAAAGAAAAACCCTTGTAAGCTGCAAACTGCTATTTGCATGTGCAGGATTGTAATTATTTTATTATTCATAGAAATATAAATATACTGGGGCGCCTGGGTGGCTCAGTTGATTAAGCATCTGCCTTCGGCTCAGGTCATGATCCCAGGGTCCTGGGATTGAGCCCCGCATCATGTTCCCTGCTTGATGGGCAGCCTGCTTCTTCCTCTCCACTGCTTGTGCTCTCTCACGCGCACAAATAAAATCTTATTTTTCTCAAATAAATAAAATCTTAAAAAAAAAAAAAGAAATGTAAATATACTATAGACATACCATACTAGAAATGCGTTTATACAAGATGCTCACTCATACCATACCCTGTTGGGTACCTTAGCCACTGAGAAAGGGCAGAAGAGGCAGATGGGAGAAAAGACGTGAAGGGAGCAGTAGGTCCTATTGGGCCCAGATACTCCCTTGTGTGCGGATACATCCGCTTCCTCAGGGAAGACGGTAATGCCCAGCCCCCACTCCCTCCTGTCTCTCTGAGGCAGAGTCCCCTCCCAAGCAGGGCTTTTGGTTTCCAGGGTAAACCAGCAGCCACTTTGGACCACGCCCTTCCCAGTTTGCCAAGGAAGAACAAAGGTGTAGAGTGGGGTTCTCGCCGCTCCATTTATTTATTTTTATTTTATTTATCATTATTTTTTAAAGTAGGCTCCCCACCCAATATGGGGCTTGAACTCACAACCCTGAGATCAAGAATTGCACGCTCGGGACGCCTGGGTGGCTCAGTTGGTTAAGCATCTGCTTTCAGCTCAGGTCATGATCCCAGGGTCTTGGGATCGAGTCCCGCATCGGGCTCCCTGCTCTGCGGGGAGCCTGTTTCTCCCTCTCCTGCTGCTCCCCCTGCTAGTATTCTCTATCTCTCTGTGTGTCAAATAAATAAATAAAATCTTTAAAAAAGTAAAAATAAATAAATCAGGATTTCACATGGCATTTACTTGTCACTCTTAGGCTTAAAAAAAAAAAGAGTTGCACGCTCTACGGGCTGAACCAGCCACGTGCTCCTCACAGCTCCCTTTAGAACACCAGCTCCAGGGGCGCCTGGGTGGCTCAGTTGGTTAAGCAACTGCCTCCGGCTCAGGTCATGATCCTGGAGTCCCGGGATCGAGTCCCGCATCGGGCTCCCTGCTTAGCAGGGAGTCTGCTTCTCCCTCTGACCCTCCTCCCTCTCGTGCTCTCTCTCATTCTCTCTGGCAAATAAAAAAAAAAAAAAAAGAACACCAGCTCCAGTAACAATGCCAGCTCCAAGTTTCGTTCCCCCTACCTGCCCAGCACCCCCAAACCACCCTCTCCAAGCCTCTACCTTTTGGCATCTTCTTCAGGAGATTAAACACCTCACTTTTCTCGATGAGATCCTTGGCCTGGAAGAAGTGCATGCTGGGAGGGAAATTCTGGCTCTTCACGGCTTGAGCCACCTCAGCCTTTTTGAGGGCCATGAGCCTCCCATTGGCCAGCTCCTCCTGCTCGGTCAGCACCAGCTGCCCCCCCAGCTGCATCATCTTCTCTCTCATCAACAGCTGCGTCCGTGCTTCATCTATGGGTATGGCTGAGCAGGAAAAAGGCATCGCGGCCACCAAAAGCAGGGAGAGCAGGGCTGGCCGCCCTGGCGGGCCACCCACGGACATTGGGATGCCTGGAAGAGGAAATTGCTCAGATAGAAACCCAACAGGGCTAAAGAAGGGAGTAGGTCAATGAAAATTTACAGATTTAAATGTCAAACTCTGATTTTCCTTCTCCCACTCTGTTCTCAGATTACCAGGAGGCAGCACACTGAAGGATTCTCCAAGGCCGCAGAGAAAAGACTTGCAGGTACAGACCGGAAGGGGTTTCCCAAATAATAAGTCACCATGAGCCGTCCTTGAAAAAAGTGGATCTTTTCAGTTAGCGAGCCCTGTTCACACATGGAGGAGGACACTGCAATCAGATTTTCAGTGTTTCACTTTTTAATATCGTCAGAGAGCAACATATCACAAGGCATATAAAGAAAGCCTCCAACATGGTAAAGAAACTTAAGAAAAAAAAAAAAAAACACGGAGAGAAGGAAACAAAGGGAAAGAGAGACAATGCAGGAAATAAAAGAAAAATTCAAAAGAGCCATACTTAATATCCTAAGAAGGATACAAAAAGATACTGTGTCCATAAAACAACTACAGGGAATTATTAAAAATATATAATTTTTTATATTTGGGCCAGCTGGCTCAGTCTGTAGAGCATGCAACTCTTGGTCTCAGGGCTGTGAGTTCAAGCCCCACATTGGGTGTAGAGATGACCTAAAAATTAAAAAAAAATAGGGGCACCTAAGTGGCTCAGTTGGTTAAGCGTCTGCCTTCAGCTCAGGTCATGAGCCCAGGGTCCTGGGATCCAGCCCCGAGTGCGGCTCCCTGTTCAGCGGGGAGCCTGCTTCTCCCTCTCCCTCTGCTGTTCCCCCTGCTTGTGCTCTCACTCTCTCTTTCAAAAAATAAAAAAAAATAAATTAATTAAAAAATAAACAGAATGAGAAAGAGCTTTTAGAAATTAAAAATACAAAAGCTGAGGGGCGCCTGGGTGGCACAGTTGGTTGAGTGTCCGACTCTTGGTTTTGGCTCAGTCGTGGTCTCAGTGTTCTGAGAATGAGCCCTACGCCAGGCTCCACACTCAGTAAGGAATCTGCTTAAGATTCTCTCTCCTGGGGCGTCTGGGTGGCTCAGTCGGTTGAGCGTCTGCCTTCAGCTCAGGTCATGATCCCAGGGTCTGGGACTGAGTCCCACATCGGGCTCCCTGCTCAGTGGGCAGCCTGCTTCTCCCTCTGCCTGTTGCTCCCCCCTGCTTGTGCTCTCTTGTGCTCTCTCTCCAACAAATAAATTTTAAAAATCATTAAAAAAAAAAAAAGATACTCTAATCCTCGCCCTCTGCTCCCCCCCCACATTCTCTCTCTCTCTCAAATAAATAAATAAATCTTTTTAAAAATACAAAAGCTGAAATTTTAAAAATTTACTAGCAATATTACAAGATGGAATTTCTTTTAGAAATTAGGACAAAATAAGAGAGAAACAAATGAGAAGATTATTGGCTCAGGAAACCCAACCCCAAATAACAGACATATTAGAAGGAAAAAGAAAAAAGAAGAGAAAAAAAGTAAATAAATAATAGAAGAAATTGGGCCACAAAAGAAGACCTGAATCCCTGGTTTAATGAGGCTTGTTGAGCTGCTAGCATAGCACAACAATTGCTCAATGGCCACACCAAGATATATCATCTTGATATTTCAGAACATTAGCACTAGAAGATGCTAAAAGCTTCCAGAGAGCAGCTTAGTCCTGGTTAGCAGTGAGCAAGGATTTAAGGGCAGAAGGAAAGAAGCTTGCCCCAATGGTCTCCTCATGCCAGGCACTATGTTAGGGCTTTGTTAGGTCATTTATTTGAATCACATTTAAGAATTATGGGGCGCCTGGCTGGCTCAGTCAGAGGAGCGTGTGACTCTTGGTCTCAGGGTTGTGAGTTCGAGCCCCATGTTGAGTGTAGAGAGTATTTAAATATATATATATATATATATATATATATATATAGGAGTTGTTTCTGCATCCTTGAAAGTATGATACGGTATCCTGGAAAGAATTAAGGCTATAAATTGGAAGACCTCAAGATCAGTCCCAAATTAGTATGTCTTTAACCGTGAGACCTTGGGCAAACTGCTTGATATTGATGGGTCTCAGTTTTCTCACTTGTGAAAAAGATGAATTACACTAGATCAGTGGCCCTCAAAGTGTGATACAGGTATCATCAGTGATACAAGATACCAATGTTTAGGTTGAATAAAAAATTTTTTTAAAAAGTTAATTGAAAGAAAGATATTAAGTAGGGGTGCCTGGGTGTCTCAGTCAGTCAAGCATCTGCCTTCAGCTCAGGTCATGATCTCAGGGTCCTGGGATGGGGTCCCATGTCAGCCTCCCTGCTCAGTGGGGAGTCTGCTTCTCCCTTTCCCTCTCCCCCTGCTTGTGCTCTCTCTCTCTCTCTCTGGCTCAATCCTTCTCTCAAATAAATAAATAAAAATCTTTTTTTTTTTTAAAGAAAGATATTAAGTAAATAGAGATGCAGGGATATGACAAAGGTGAAAAGCTTGCTAATCATTGGAACACAATATATCCCAGGTTCTTTCCAGGGCTAACATTCAATTATTCTAAGTTACATCAGCTACCAAGAGGGAATTTTCGGAAGGAACTGGATACTATTTACTCTAATACCACAGCTATGGTAGGGGCTGTACCTTCCTAATCAGAGAGTTGGACTTTTGAAAAACCCCTGCGACTTCATCAAGGCTTCGAATCTCTCTTCAGACTACAGTGTTTGCCAACAGCTGAAAGAGGAGAGTGACATTTATGTCACCTTCCCACCCATCCCATGCTGTATCCTCCAATCAACGGCCCTAGCCCCTTGTCCCTCTCTCCTTACTCACACATAGCAGAAGCCACTAAGTTCCACAGTCTCCACCCCTGTCCTCTCCGCAGACCCCAGAAGTAGTTGTGTGGCCCAGCATCTAGGGACTTTTCCTGGTCTGACAGACAAAATTTTATCTAACACTGGTCCTGGCTGAGGCTGGCTGAGCATCAGGAAAAATAATCCCTATAACACTTGTTGCTAAATTTACTTCATCTCTCTCCTCATGAAAAGTGTCTTTTACTTTTAAAAGAGGGTGCATGAAGACTCTCTAGTTTGGTCCCAGAGTAAGAACAAAGAAACAGACCATGTGCACCTGTGACTCTGAGCCAATGTCCTTAGGTCCACAACCACTTTCAAAAGCCTGTTGTGGAGCAAGGCTATGCTCTTCCTCCCCACTGGAAGGCACAAACCCGCTTCAGGTGGGGGGCAGGGAGGGCTGCCAGCAGGTAAACAGAGCCCAAGTGCCAGCGTCCCAGCTACCTACCATAACCTCACGAGCTAGACTCCCAGCCCAGGGGATCCCAGGTACCTCAGAGCAGCTCCAGAAACTGCAGACTGTTCGCTGAGTCCCCCGACAGCTGTGTCAGAAGCACCAGAAAAGCTCACCATCCTGTTTTCACTTCCTGTCAGGGCAGGTTTCACTTCCTCCCAGCCTCATGTTGCTCAGGCCTAAAGAGAGGCAAGGAAGACAGGGTCTGGCAGAGCTGAGGCAGCAAGTGGGCCTGAGAGTATGGGTTTACGTGTGTGTGTGCGTGTGTGCACGCTTATGTGCTCGTGCAGCGATTTATGTGTGTGTTTGTATGTGGTCATGTGCATTTGTGTGGGGGTTATGTACATCTTTACATGCGTGTGCATGTGTGTGCGTGTGGGGGTCATGTATGTGTTTGTGAGGCAGTTATATGCATGTTTGTGTGTGTCTACGTGTTTGTGTGAGTTTATGCGCATGTGTGGGCTTCTATATGTTTGGGGGGAGGATATGTGTGTGTTTGTGTTTGAGGTGTCTTTGTAGGGTCCAGAGCATAGTTTTAGACAACAAGCACCACAAGGAGGCACTCCAAAATCTGCTCATGAACTTTGGGAATTATAGCTCTCCTCCAAATGTGATTGTGAATTGTGGGGCAACCTTCTGAACAGAGGGTGAAAAGGTAGATATAAAAGAAGGTAAATGATTTATGGGGGAAATACACAGATCTGGGGGCAGGACGGTTGAGGAAGTAGGGAGGTGTGAGGCAAGAGCAAGGGGGTGGGGAGGACGGGCGAGAAAGCAAGAGGCAGAAGGCTCCGGAGGAAGAGCAGAGTGGGACCAGGCGCTGATACCCAGACGCTGGAGTCAGGCCTACCTTTGCACCCTGGCCTGGCCTTTTGCAGCTGTGTGGCCTTGGCTGTGTTATTTAAACTTTCTATACTTTGTTGTCCTCATCTGCAAATGGAAGTCATAAAAGCAATGACTACACAGGGTCCACTGTGAGAATGTATGCAAAGTGCCCGGTGCATAGTAAGTTCTCAAGAAATAGTAGCCATTACTACTATCAGAAATAACTATTGTGACACATCGTCCAAGTCATGTGAGACCGTACCAGTGACTTCTGCGATACACGCCCGCCTGCTCCACAGACTTGCCGAGTACAGCTCCTTCCAGCCCCCTCTCAAGGCCTTCTGCCCCAAAGACACCCACAAACTCCCAGCACTTCCACTTCTGCTGTTCCTAAACGTCTGGAACCTTGGGGCCCCTTGTCATCATCTTCTCCAAAAAGTAAAAAAGTCACCCGTTTCATAAACAAGAAGAAATCCAAAAGTGAAAATACAGAGGAACTGGCAATTCCCTCATCACAAGTTCAAGATTAATTTTTTTTCTAAGTCCGTGCAATCAGAAGAAACAAACAAGCCGCAAAGACAGACCAAATTGACCTACAGAAGGGTAGGAAGGGAAAAATCACCAATTTTGAACATAAACCATTAGGAGATTTTTTAAGATACTAGAGCAGAGCTAAAGGTAAAGCTTTTTTTTTCCAAAAGCTTTGGTTAAAAGTAAGAGCTAATGTCCACATCGCAAAGGACTGGCTCTGGAGACTCCGGCTCACAACTTGGCAGGGAAGTGCAGAGCCAGGGGAGGGCTGTGGGTCTTGAAGCTGGAGTTATTGCCTCAGGCAGAAGCTACTTGGGCCAGGGGAGTGGAGGACCCAGATGTTGAGACAGAAGCAGAGAGGGAATGGCTGGGGGCGCACACCAGGATCAGAAACAGTGAAGCGAAGCAGGGTCAGACCCAGGAGACTCAGCAGGACCTGCGAACGGTCTTGGCCTTCTGAGCCATCAGCCTCCTCGGGGGTGTGGCAGTAAGCACGTCTAGCAGAAGCGGTCTGCCATCTGACAACAGCAAACCACAGTGTAAAAGGGTGAGGCCGTTCTGGGAGGATATTCTGCCAAGTGCAGAGACCGTAAAATATGGAACAGGGCTCTGCTTTTTATGCTTTATTGAAGACAACCATCAGAAGCAGAACTGGCCCTGTTTCAGAATCTAAAAAATCTACAGGGTAGAAAAAGGGAACCAACGTGTTTTTTAGTGATTTCAAAGCTTAAGCTAAATGGAATGAAGTCTGATAGGATAGGCGGGTTATGCCCCCAAAACTGGAGACAAGGAGACGTTTTCAGAATTAAAGATGGTGTATGGCTACAAAAATATTTGAGAGCTATTTTCATTAAAACAGTGCTTTCTCCCATCAATATCATGAATTATATGACATTGCTATATGTAACCTACAGCAAACTGTAGGAGAGTTACCTATGGTGGAAGATTTGAAGTGCTGGAAATACCACTTCAATAGAAGATAAATAAGGTTCTCTGATCCCAAAGTTGAAAAAAATGAAGTAATAATAGCTAAAATTTATTGAGAATTATATATATATTTACTAATTTAATCCTTGCAGTGATCTTATAAGGTAGGGAATATTGCTAGCTGTCCTTGACCAGTGAGTGCACTGAAGCACCTGGATGGAGGTTGGTGACTTGCCCAAGGTCACACAGCTGGACTTGCACTTTCCACCTACAGCCTTCCCTGGTAGCCAGGAAACAGAAGGTCTTCAAGGCGGTGGGGAGCCACTGGTGTGGGAGAGCACCCCTCAAGACAGAAGGGCTGATCCCTGGAGGAAAGCCCAATTCGCAAAGATGGGACACAGAAACAGATATTATCGGGCATAAGATGATTTTTCTAGATACTGGGAGCTTGTGCTTTTAATAGCCAAAGTTTTTCAGGAAGCAAAAAATTAGCTCTTTCAAGGAATTGCTGTGTGATTTTGAAAAAAAATTCTTAACATCTATGAGCTTAATGCCTTTATCTGAAACAAGGGAAGAATAACATGTACTTCCTACTAAGTTTTTTACCAAGTAAGTTTGTGTGTGTTAAATAATACACATGAAAATATTTCTTTCTCTCTCTCTCTCTCTTTTTTTTTTTTTAGGGAGAGAGAGAGCACAAGAGGTGGAAGAGGAGGCAGAGGGAGAGAGAGAGAATCTTAAACAGGCTCCATGATCAGCACGGAGCCCCATGTGGGACTCGATCTCACGACCCTGAGATCATGACCTGAGCTGAAGTCAAGAGTCGGATGCTTAATCAATTTGCACCACCCAGGTGCCCCTTAAGATTGTATTTTTTTAAGTAATCTCTACATCCAACATGGGGCTTGAACCGTCGATCCCTAGATCAAGATTCACATGTCCTACCAACTGAGCCAGTCAGGCGCTTCCAAACTAGACCATTTAAACAAAAAGACAAAACCCCTAGAGCTACAGACATTCTTTCCGAACTCTCTTTAGCAGAGCACTGCAGATTTCTTTGGGGGAAGAGAAACAGTTTCTAGCCTAGTTAAGGATGGCGTACCCTACTAAAAATGAAGATAATACTGAAATTTTGCACACTTAACAAGACTTTTTCCCTACTAGTCTCTCAGACGTCAGCAACCAGTTTCATACCCAGAGTGAAGAAAAGGGAAAAGCCTCCCCTGGGGCTTTCACCAGCCACTGATAATCGCCCTAAAGATACTGACAGAGACTTACCAGATCACTTTATAGCACAAGAGATGGCCAACAACCACCCCTCCCCCACATACACAGGGCTTATAGCATCCTTTTATTATCCCACTCCTTTTTTTTTTAAGATTTTTTTAATTTAATTTTTTTTAAAGATTTTATTTATTTATCTGAGAGAGAGAATGGGAGACAGAGAGCATGAGAGGTTTTTTTTTAAGATTTTATTTATTTATTTGACAGAGAGAGAGAGATAGCGAGAGCAGGAACACAAGCAGGGGGAGTGGGAGAGGGAGAAGCAGGCTCCCCGCCGCTCAGGGAGCCTGATGCGGGGCTCGATCCCAGGACCCTGGGATCATGACCTGAGCCGAAGGCAGATGCTTAACGACTGAGCCACCCAGGTGCACCTCTTTTTTTTAATATTTTATTTACTCATTTGAGAGAGAAAGAGACAGAGATAGCAACAGAGATCAGAGTGGGAGGAGAGGGAGAAGCAGGCTCCCTGCTCAGCAGGGATCCCGACCCTGAGATCATGACCTGAGTTGAAGGCAGAGGCTTAACCAGACTGAGCCACCCAGGCGCCCCTACCCCACTCTTAAATTTAAGTAGACATCCAGGAGCCGCTACATTTGAGGTATGCTATTTTATGACAGAGCAAAAAGTATCTTGGAGGAAAGAGAATGGGAGAGAGAAGAAAACTCCATCTAATATATTAGTATCAGAGACGTAAGAGAAGATACCATACTCATGAAATAAGGACAGGATGTTATAAAGAAGGGATAGTCAAAGAGTGAAAACTAACTCGGCACAAGTGATGGATAGTAAAAATGAAAAACTACAGAAAAACTGAATGATGAAGTCAACATCTTCCAGAAGGTAGAACAAAAAGACGAAGAAAAGAAAAAGTGGAGGAAAAATATTTTTTAATTTATTATTATTATTATTTTTAATTTATTTATTTGAGAAAGTGAGAGCATGAGTGGAGGGGCAGAAGGAGAGGGAGAAGCAGGGAGCCTGACAAAGAGCTTGATCCCAGGACCCTGGGATCATGACCTGAGCTGAAGGCAGACGCTTAACGACTGAGCCACCGGGGTGCCCCGGGAAAAGATTTTTTTAAAGGATGAACAGCCAAAAAAAAAAAAATCAAAGGTATAAAAACGTCATGTTCCAGAAAGAGAAAACAGAGTGGACAAAAACCAAAGCAATAGCTCAAGAAAATATCTTAGAATGGAAAGACATGTGAGTCTAGACCGAAAGGGTCCTTAGGAGGCCCATCAGATGGCTGACAATGAACCCCGGCCAGGCCATCGCGGTGAGAGTGCAGAAGGCTGGGGACAAAGTAAAGAACTCTGAGTCATCTAAAACAAGAGGGTGAACCAGAAAAAGGGAATTCAGGGGATCCAGGAGACAGAAGACCCAACATAAGAAAGGGACAGAGGAAGTTTCTAGCTTCGTGAAGGAAGATCCCAAGGCCGGATCGGTGCTGCACACCGAGGGCCAGCCAGTCCTGGAGAAGCTGGACCTGGTGAAAGAGCCTCTGGGACGGGGCGCCT